CACCATGTGACATCACGACCAAAGGGATATTCCGCACCGTGTGACATCACGACCAAAGGGATATTCCGCACCGTGTGACATCACGACCAAAGGGATATTCCGCACCGTGTGACATCACGACCAAAGGGATATTCCGCACCGTGTGACATCACGACCAAAGGGATATTCCGCACCGTGTGACATCACGACCAAAGGGATATTCCGCACCGTGTGACATCACGATCCAGCTGCCAGCGGGGGTTAAACCACGACAGCCCCACAGGCCACCGCTCCGTGGCAAGACGCAGGCATAGAAGGATCAGATGTTTGGCACCTTTGAGCCACTCCTACTCACAAGGTGCCACCTCAAATTTGTTTCAGCACAAAGCCTGAAAATACTTCAAAAAACCCCCAAAATACCTCCAAACCCACGCAGTATTCATATTTAAAGTTATGCTAACCAGTGAGCAAACTAAACCCGAATCGCAATACTTCAATCAGGGCAACAACACGTTAACAACCCTGCTGACACCAAGCCAACCCCTAATTTGAATACAACTAATTGCACCTGCACACTGTATTTTAGTACAAATCTTCATCAGTACAAGGAGCCCTTACGATCACGCAGTTACTGGTTCAGAGGGAAATTTCATGGCAAGAGCATCTGCTTCTGAATTACCATAACCTGCCCTGAAACACCAAATGTGATTAAAACCATTTAATATTCTCTTAAAGCTAACCATGCACGCAGGGATTGTGCTTCCACAGTTACCTGACGACTCCCGTAAAGTCTCTCAAAGAAAAACAATTTGGCATTATCTTGCAAATATCTTTATTACAATTTACAGATTAGTTCTGAATAGTTTTATTATGTACAGAAATAGAATTTTAGATATAAAAACCCAACAAACTTGACACAAATCAATTAAAATCTGTATAAAGCCAATGTTGGAAGGTCTTCTAACTTCTTCTAAATTATACAAAAATAAAATCTGATAATTACAGTTTTGATTTAAAGTTCAACAAGTGTTATTTTTACTGTCTCACTCAAAGCACTTACACAGGTACACATCCTGTATGACCATTTTAAATTATGTTCTAGGGAATAATGGTGACAACCAAGCTTAGCTTGCTCTTAAGATGTTTACGGTGATGAATTTAGTGTTAATTTCCTATCACCTTACACCGGATACTTTGAAAACATGAGGTCTGCAAGGGGGAAGAGCTTACCCGAGCAGATCTGTTTCGGTGAGAATCAGTAGTGTTGGAACAGAGCGCTTGATACACTGCAGGCTGGAAAAAAAAAAAATCATCTCTCCAATGTTAGACGCACTTTGGGAGTAGCAGTTTTTATAGTTTACATCCAATTTGTCAATTCTGTTCGTTTCCAGCCGTGTATCCCAAGCCTCTGCTGCAAACAGTGGATCGGTATTTGCAGGTGTTAACTCACACCACTCTAAAGCTTCTTACAAGCACCAGTAAACCAAGTGGGTTGTCCAGAGTAACTGAAGCACCAAGTCCTCCAAGATCGAAGAAACTAGGAGAGTCATGGAAAAATGACTATAGTACGTTTTACCAAGAGCAATGAACAGCATTTGTACTTATCAGTCACACTTGGACCATGAGTCAACAAATTTTCTATTCTGCATTTATCATCCTGCATGCTTTTTCCTAAACTAAAAAGCAGGACGCCTGTTACCAAACACGATACAGGAAAATGAACTCCTAAAAATTAAAGATCTTTCACAGGATTTGAGGGCATGATTAGAATTACAATTTCACAACTCAAATTATCTTTTTTAGGAAAGGAGAATCTAATTTGTATTTTTTTTTTTATGCCATGAGGATGAAAAATAACATTGCTACATTGCTCCCAAGCAGCCAGTCTGTAAGGCTGCTGGAGTTTCAGCTGCATTTTAGGACAGCTCCACTGTAGGTCACAGTTAACCCTCTGGACTTTGTAATTGTAACACTTCTAACTTGGAGCAGAGAAAGGTAATTTAACAAACGCACTTCATACAACAATAATAAAGTATAAACCCAAAAACTCTGCCATTTTTAAGACAGAATTAAAAGTAATGGCCAAAAAGATGGCACGATAAAGCAGAAAATTCAGTAAAGCTCTGTGAAGCTCTTCTGTATCTGTAATTTTCTTTCAAATTAAAAATTGAAGTCAGCAATGAGAAGACAAAGTTGAAGTGTTTTTACGTTTCTCCCTTAAAAAAGGAAAACAATTCTAGTCAGCTGAATGAACCAAGTAGCGAATAATTTATTCACGCAAGTTCGTGCAAATAGATACGAATGCTCTGATGTTTGCTATTTATCCCGTTGCATGACCTCATACCTGCTTGGGTAACAGCCACACAACATCCTTCAGGTCCAAACACATATCCAAATGGTGCTGCTTTTTTATTTTGACTGAAACAACAATTAGAACATTTTAAGGTTAGGAACATAAATAAGGAGTGTTTCCTTTCCACCGAGGACCTCAACTTTCAGACCTCAAACACAAAATGTTGTTTTGGTACCGGATGAACGAAAGTGCAGAAGCATAGAGGTATTAATACTGGCTTTTGGTAAAGAACACAATGATTTGTGACCTTAGATTTCCATACGTCAAAGATAATTCCCCTTACAAGTACCGGAACAAGCATATTGGATACAAAAAATATGAAGAGTCCTCCACTTCAATCCATCTTCCGAAAGCAAAATAAATTACTGCAAAGTTACTCTAAGATTATTGTAAAGAACTAGGGCCTAGTTCCCTTTGCGCAGCTACCTAAATTCAAACCACCAGCCATAGCCTTGATGCATACCTTGAAGCTTTAATTATTGAACAGGATGAAGCCTTTCATCACCCTGAAAGCAGAGAGGTTTGGTGCACAAGCAGCCAACACCCTTTGGAACAGTACTGGGTAAAGGTATTATTTAAATAAAGACAAACCAAAGGGCTTGTAGTGCACCAGAGTTCCCCTGAATCCCCCAGTGTGCTAGACTGAAATATTAAGACATCAAAGCATTACATAAACACTCAAACACTAGATTACATGCAAAACTGGGATCTTAAAAGGAAGGAACAATCTGCTTCACTCAGTAAAGTCAACGTTACTAGCTAACAAAATCTGAGACTTTAGTACAAGAGAAAATGGAAAAGCACAACAAAGCAGCACATTCCTCTAGAAACTTTAAATCAAAACTGCAATAACGAGGTTCTGAGCCCCATAAATATTTCCTTCAAAATAGGTTTTGCTTTTTCAAAGTGCAAAAATCCAACTTAATAGTCACCACTTCTCAGAATACGGCAGACAAGGCATTTTTTGGAATGGATTTAACCTAAAGCAGTCTGTTTCCCAAGTGTTACTTAAAAGGAATGCAGTTAGACCACCCTTACCCTTGATGATACTCAAAAGGTTCTGTCTGGATATCACAATGGGGGACACGGGGATAATTGTTGGCTGAATATCGAACTGGGAAAAAAAAAGTGTTAAAATCCCACTTCTCTCCCCATTTCAAAATAGCACATGCAGCTGCCACTTCTCGTTGTGAAGTTGTTCATGAGTGCTTAGGGTCACGCAACTACCAGATCTTTTAAGGTGCTAGAAGAGATCAACCCTCTTGTAGTAGGTTTCTTGGAGTCTATTAAATACTCTTTGTCTATGCTCTGTTGTGAAGCAGTATCCTATGGCTTCTTCTGTTTCTTGGATACGTTTCTGGAACCTGCATCCATCTCGTGCAAGCTCTTCCCAGGGTCCTTTACGATCCTCCTCACTGCTTATGTAATACTCAGTAACTTTTTCAAGGAAGGTTACCTGGAAAAGACAAATCATTTAGTACAGCATTAGCCAAACACTCACGCAAAAGGAGCTGGTTTTATTTGCACATATGACTTTTTTTTTTTTTAACAGAAGCTATTAAATGCCTAAACCAGCAAAAAGCCTCAGATATGCTACCAGTTCATGCTAGGTCTCTGCACCACCTAGGCCAGAGCGTATTTCACCTCTCAGCTTTAAAAGCAACAAGTTGCTGACTTCTCCCTCTAACAAAAATAGCGCTCAAACTACTACGGAGTTTCTAAACTGCGGCCTAAGAGGCCTCTTTAGGCTGATGGCAGATCACAAGGTGCTCCCTGTGAAATAACAGGCCCC